AACTCAATATTTTTATATTCAATTACATTTTCATGCCAATAATATTTTCACCGTGTCTTCAGGCACGGACATATCCTAGTATGAATAATGTTTGTAGCTCGAGGATTCCCCTCCCCCCCCCCGAATCCCCTAATGCCCAAAACACGTCGTTTTGGGCATTAGCCTTTTCTTTTTTCTTTTTTTTCTTCCATTTTCGATCAGCTCAGGAACGGGAGGAGAGAAGAGAGAAAGAGAAGAGGGAATGGAGAGGGCCCCTCTTGTTGTTGCCCGACCTGCGATCGTCGAGCAGCTCATCGTCGCAGCAGCAGCTCCCCGTCGCAGCCCCGCCCCTCGCAGCCCCTGCCTCTGCCGCCTCCGCCCCGGCCTCCGCCTCCAGCCCCATTTGTTGAGCCCCCTCAGTCCCTCCTCCTCCTCCTCCTCCTCCTTCTTCTTCTCTGCTTCTGATCTGCAAAAAAAAAAAAAAAAAAAACAAAACAAAACAAAAACAAAACAGGTCGTTTTTGGTTCGGGAGATTGGGGGAGGGGTTTCGAACTACGTAACACTGCCGATCGTAGTATATATATATATATATATGAAATAGCAGTATTGTGACCTTATTTATTAAAGGTCAGGTCTCATGGACTTTAGGCTGTTGCTGGTTGGTGCCAAGCCAAGTAAGGCTTGAGCTTTCGAACACCTTTGTGGACCCCACTGCCTTAATGTTGATTGTTTTGGGCTGGATATTCTCTTTTGGGCTCCAGACCCATTGTTGATTGCTGCCCACTAATCACTGGGCTTGGCCCTGCAATAACGGCCAAGTGCTCTTGGGGTTAATTTGGCTAATTTTTGACCCAGTGGATGCCCTTTCTTGGTCTGTGGGCCCTTTAATATCCCACAAGCCTCTTCTGCTTTCCAGGCCCACAAATGCAGTTCTCTAGATGCATTTAATTTCACCTTCCAAGTTTCCGAATTTTATACACATTGATTCCAACAACTTAATAATCTTCAAATGCATCATCAATACATGGCCACACAATCAAGTCATCAAAACACAAATGTGTAGAGAAGTGCAATTTTTGAAGTTCAAGAGGCAGGCCTTGTTTGCCAAGTGAGGTTTTTTAACTAAAAAATCACTACAAATTGTCAAATCATTTTTTTCTACTTTTTTGCACATTTTTTCCATAAAAAATCATAAAAGTAACTAAAAAATCAATCCCCAAAACAACACTACAAAGATGGCGCTTAACGAATCAGATTACCAGTTAAAATTAAAATAAATTCAATTGTATTAAGAAGATTCACAGCCTCGGTTTCAGCCACAACCATACAAATATTGAGCACAAGGATGAAGACAAGCCTAATTCAAATTGGTTTGCATCCTCACCTCACCCAGATTAATAACATCACAGAATTACTAAAGGGCATTGGCTCTAGGCAGAAGCCAATGGAAGCACCAAAATGTGCAGTCGGATTGATAATACACAATGCTTCAGTGTATCAAGGTAACAGCTTTGGTAAGACAGTGCGATGAAATTTCATGGTGAATCTCTGTAAAATGGAGACTTGTCAATCAGACATCTTCATGGCGGCAGGCTTGTTTGGAATGAACCCAGCCGGAGACACTATTGCATCCACGGGAACATCATTATGTGTATAGCGATAGCTCCCTCATCCACAATCTGTAAAGAGTATGAAAGTGCAACTGCAGCCAAAACAGGCACCAGGAGTGTGACTAAAGAAATAAAAAGGAAAAGACAAGCTTATTGCATATATAGTTAATCTGAAAGATAGGGTGTTAAAAAAAAATGGCCAAACAAGTAAATTGTTCAGAATTGATCCAAACTGTATGGTTTGGCCTAGTTTTTTAGAGGCAGTTTGGTTTCAGATTCCAAAAAATTAAGAACCAGTTTATTACGGTTTGGTTTCACAGATGAGACTCAAAAAGAACGAATCAAACAATTTGATGATTTTATTAATTTTAATATGCATAGGGTGTTCCAGACCACAAGGTATCTACTTTTCTTTGAATCTCAATCTCAATCTCATTCTGATGTCGATGAGACCTTCATTCATCTTATTCACAAAGTATATCACTCTATAACAAAATGTGTATTGTTTTTTTAGTTTTTTTTTTTTCACTACTCATATAATTTTTACACTTCTTATATTATTGAAACTTGCATTTTCATAGTAATTACTATATAATATGAATTTGTTTTCTTTTACATATTTTCTAAAGGTTAGTTTGGAGAATATTCAAAAAATTTGAAGTATGCTTATAAACTTTAGAATACTTGTATAGGAAGGAAGAATCAATTTTTATTAACCTGGATAATCTAGATATAGTGATTACTGTTCAAGCCTAGAACCGAAGTGGAGCCAAACCACTTTTGGCTGTTTGGTTCTGGTTCGGTTTTTCACAGCTTGATTTGGTTTTCTAAATTTCTGAGCCATAAGGACCAGTTTGGTTCTTGGTTTACCTTGGAACCAAACCAAACCGGTCCATGAATACCCCTATACTAAAGAAATAGCACAATAAAGTTGGGTACCTACCAAGAAGGGGCTGCTTCCAGTTCCTCTTGCTAGCAAGCTCTTTGTATTTCTTCAGGAACATATCATAGTAACTTTGAATTTTTGCCCAGCACAGACAAAAGAAATTGCAGAATGAGACATGCTTTATAAAATGTGCAGACAAAATAGGACATGCTTATATGATTTATGACACGTTGAATGTACTTCCAGACGAGCTGCACAAAAAGTAGCATGACCTGGTTCAGCATCTGATGCCACACACTTGCTAATTTTCAGTAACTTGCTGGTCTAGGGTACTTAAAGGACAATAGCCTTCAGAATAAACATTCTAAACAAGATTCATCAAGATCTCCTATGCGGCTGGAGAATAAGGACCAAAAAAAGAGTCTAATCCAATTGAAAGTTTATGCATTGGTTTAAAAACAGAGTTTGTTGCGGACATACAACACTGGCAATACACCATATATGACACCACCAGATAGGCAACAGCAGTCATAACTGCTGTTTTTCATTCTGAGTTGACTTTTTGAATGCTTCTACATATCAATAACAATTATTCTTTTTTAAGTGGCTTCACGTACACCAAATTGTTAACATACAGTTAATAGAAGTAAAAACGTTCAAATATCATAAACGGCATAATTATGAATGTTAAGGCAGCAATCATGAACTTACCCACCACTACGTCCCAAACGTTTCCCAATCTGTCAAATGCAAGGCCTAGCAGTACAAAACCAAAGGTAAGACATATTATCCAGTTTTTCCGTGGGCTTTGAGATCAAGAAATAGGAAGAAGGAAATCACCAGGTAGGACGAACAAGTCAACGGGCTCACTTGCCTGCATAACTGCACAAAAGAAAGTAACAGTAAGAGCATAAACAATTAAACATGTGTAAAAACCCGAGCTTAATATAATATCAACTGCAAGGGAAATTAT